GAGTGTTTTCTATGAGAAACAGTCTAGGCATAATTTCAGAACTTAGCACTAATGGAATAGCAAAAAGATTCAATTTTAAGGTCAATTTAAAACTTAATCAAAGACAAATTAAGACTGCAGATTTTTGCCAAGAGTTGTTGTTATTACACATCTCAGTAGCATTTTAAATAGGTTTGAGTCTCAATCAAACTGAGGGAGTGAAAAGTAAATTATCTCCACCTGAATCACCCCTTTCTTTAATACTCAACTCATTGATTAGAGGAGGCAGATATTCCTCTTACATTTATCTATTAAACAGTCTTGATTTTTATTGTATACAGGTTCTCTTAATGGTTTAGATGAGTCATTTCTCAGCTTTTTAAATCTATAGACCACTAACACTAACAGGCATTATTAGGAAGTTTCAAAATAAATATTTATCTACCACTATATTCACACACATACCTTATAGCCAATATATACATTTTATATTCATCCAAGATTCTGGAAAATCAATTATGTTGCCTTATATGTTTTTTTACCATATCTTTTTCTTTTATATATCACTAGTTAGAGATAGATTGGTGTAATGCTTAAGGCATCAGACTAGAGACTGGAAGGCCATAAATCTAATCCTGTATTAGATACAAAGCCAGCTGTGTAACCTTAAACCAGCCACTGTTTCTCAGATCTAGGAAGCAGACAAAGGCCAACCATTTCTGAAATCTTGCCAAGAAAACTGCAGGGACCAGGCAGTCAGCAGGAGTCAAAACCTGACTCAAAGGCACACAACACACAAAATCTGACTCCAAAGACACAGAACACACAAAACCTGACTCAAAGACACACAACACACAAAACCTGACTCAAAGGCACACAACACACAAAACCTGACTCAAAGACACACAACACACAAATAGGCCAGAAAGGAATAATGGATGGAAACTGATCAAGGAGAGATTCAACCCGCAAATAAGGAGAAATGTTCTGACAGTGAGAACAATCAACCAATGGAACAGTTTACCTTCGGAAGTTGTAGGAGCTTCATCACTGGAGGCTTTCAAGAAAAGATTGGACTGCCATTTATCAGAAATGGTGTAGGGTCTCCTGCTTGGGTGGGAGGTTGGACTAGATGACCTACAAGGTCCCTTCCAACTTTGTTAATCTGTATCAGCTAATATCACTAGCAAGTGGTTTTCATACTATTACATTAATGAGTAACTTAACTGTCCCCCAAATCTCTTGGTTTCTGGCTTTCTTAAATCATGTCGGAATTAGAAAAATAGGGATTGCAGATCATCTCATTGTTCTCAGGCAAAACCAATATGTAGGTCAGGAAGCCATAGCATGGTTGGAATATGTCAGCCTAGCATGTTGGTCCAGTCAGGAAGCATGACCAGATGGACTAATTCTACTTTATTATAAGGTTACATTGATAGAATCTTGCAAGTCTGAAAGTACTTTTATTCCTTCTTAACCTTACAACCTCCCAAAACTAGGAAGGGTCCTTTCTGAGACATTTGCCATGCCCATATTCCTTTTGCAGGCTGATCTATCTCTTCTACCACAATTCTACTAACTGCAATTTTTCTCCCGCTCTTCCAAGATCATTTCCACATACACAACATGATAAAGCAGACTGGCTGGCAAGAGAGATACAAGGCTATATATTTTCTCTTTGCTTATCCAACCTATGTGCTGAATATATGCAAAGAGAAGCTTCAGTGGAAGAAGATGAATGTAAATTTAAAATGGGAGGGAGAAACATTCATAGCCTGCATGATGCTGAGAACACTACCTGAAAATGAAAAGGATCTGCAAGCTCCAGTAATAAAAACCAAAGAGCATAGCAAAAATGTGACTAAAATTAAATATAAAGAAGATCAAACAAATGACACAACTGCCAGCTTTATGATTGACTGATTACTGAAGTCTTTGGAAAAGATACTCAGATGCAATGATGTGTCTATATCGTCAAAGATCAGAATTGTAAAAGCAGTGGTATTCACTGTGACACTCTATGGAAGTGAAATTTAGACTATGAAGAAGCAGGATAAAAAAGTGTTGATGCTTTTGAGCTTTGATGTTAAAGAAGCCTCCTGAGAATATAACTGAAAGTCAAGAAAACAAACAAATGGATAATTGAACAAATCAACCTTGAGTTATCTCTTGAGGCACCAATTACCAGGCTCAAATTATCTTACTACAGACATATTATGCAAAGACCTAGTTCTCTGGAGAAGGCTGTAATGTTGGGAAAAGTGGAAGGAAAGGAAAGAAGACAATGAGAATGGATGGATGGATAGATGGATGGGTGGGTGGGTGGGGAGTGGATGGATGGGTGGAAGGATGAATGGAGTCCCAGTGTTAAAGGGTACTCCATTGGAAGATCTGAAGGACCAGATTAGAGATAATGGAGAAATTGTGGTAACTAAGAGTTGATACATAATCACTCTAAAGACTTTCTGGCACATGAAAATTTTCCTTACCTTTTACATGTAGCAAAAGAAACCCCTCAAATTGGGTACATTTCAGAGTTTTAGCAAAAAACTAATAAGAACAAGCAATTTCCTGTTAGTTTTGAATGGAACAAAAAGAAAATTGGTAACTGAAATCATCAATAAATTCAGTGTACCAATTGCATCACTACCACAGTCCTTGCAACCTTTGGCCACCTAAGACGTTGAAGGGAAAATATCAGTTCTGGATGCAAAAATAATTGCTCAACTTTTAATCATGATAGATTTTCCTTCTCAAAAGTAACTTCCCTAGATTTCCATGGAATATAGACTGACAGATGTCAGGTGATCATGAAACAGCTGCAAGAGAGTTGACAGAGCATGTTTCAAACTTGCAACTACTGGAATATAACAAATATGTGAACACCAACATCTTTGTTTCTAGAAACTTTTAAGAATGAAGATGATAGCACTGTCATGAAATTTCAAACAAGTGGCACACTGATTGAAATAACTTTTTCCTTCTCTTCCAGACTTATCAATTGATGGAACAGTATCAGAAAAATAAAAGAGAAATGAGGAACACTGGTTATCTTACCAGTTCCCACTGCTGAAGTTCAAAACAAGTAGTTTATGGAATTTATTCTCATAGATGCAATGACTGACACTAGCATTGATGAGGCAAGACAATGTAAGATAAGCAATGGCTACATCTATAGGCAGCAGATCCATGGTTGCCCACACTTTTAGAAATGAGTAGGACAGTGCGAACATTTTAGGAGAACTGAATTGACCTTTGCCATCCTAAAACAGATTGTATGTTCAAAATGATGTCTTTGAAGTCCACTGAAGTCCATTGAAGAAATACCATTTTGTAGCCTTTATTCAGCAGCAATCTTAAAAGTAATTTTGTTTGTTCAGACTATCCACATTTTGCCTTAAAGCAAAGGTGGGGAAATGATGACTTTGACTTGTGGACTTCAACTCCCAGGTTTCTAGGAGTTGAAATCCACAAGTCATAAAAGAGCCATTGTTCCACAGCCCTGCTTTAAAGGGTGGCCAGTGTTTATATGGCACTTCAACTGATCTGACACTAGCAATGTCTGGCTGTGTTCCTTGGATAACTAAGTCAATTTTCTTCTGGTTGGACTATAGTACAGCTCAAGCTGCAAAAGTTTCTGAAACACTGGAAATCCTGAGAGCCTGGAGCCACCTCATTTCTCTTTTAGGAACTCTTAAATCCTCCTGAACCTGGAGTTCTTCCATAGATTGCACAAAAAATATCAACTAATCAGACCTGATATTCAGCCATTTAGTTTCTAATCAGGAATCTGATAGTATCTTTTCTGACTAACACATTTGCAAAAAGGCAGAAGCTTTCATAAGCTGCAAGTCACATTATCAGATGCCTAGAACTGACATGTCACAAAAGCTTAGGACGTTTAATAAAAAATTGTTAAATGGAAAAGGTGCTTCCAGATTTGAATGTTCCACCATCATAGAGTGCTGTTACAGTTTCTAATCACTTTTACAATTTCTCTGGGATGTTTGTTTTGATTTTTAATGCTGGGTGTGATCCAGAATAACAGGGATGGAAGGGAATTTAGAAGTCTTAAATCCAACATCCTGCTCAGGCAGGAAACCCTATATCATTTCAGTCAATGGTTGTCCAATCTCTTCTGAATCCCTGCTTATCTAAGCAGCAAGCACCTGCTTCCAGCCACTGGCCTCAAGCAGAACAGAGCAGTAACTGCTGCTGCTCCCTTTCAGATGTTCAATCTTGGTAACCATAATTTCAGCTCTTAAGAAAAGTACCTGACTGAAAAACTAGTGTTATGGCATCAACACATCTTGGCTGAGTTCATATCAATAGCTCAGACATTTCGGACAATGATAAAAATAAATGCCTACAGTGTTCTACTGCCTTATTTTTCTTCTTTCTTTCAGAAATGTGGACAAGTGAATTTTTTTTTTACTTTAGGAAGATGGCAAACTGAGGGACAGAGTACCGATGGAATTATTATTCTCCCATTGGTTGGCCAGAGGAAATACTGTGTGTGATGGGCTGCTATTATGACCTTGCCTGTTCTCAGTGTCGTGAGGAGAGCAGGGATAAAAACGATAGAATGGCTAATTCTACTTTTTTCCCCCCAAGAAACCAGGGAGTGAAAACAATGTTATGTGGAAGGGTTACACCAAGGAGGTACCTTAGGAAAAAAAAGATAGCCAAGTGCCATTTTTAAACAATTGTTTAAATATTTAATTCTACTCTTCAATGACTCCATCTCTCTCTCTCTTTGTCTTTCTCTTTCTCTCTCTCTCTCACACACACACAGACACAAATATTCACAAATACAAAGAGAGAAATAGAGGTAGAAATGAGAGAGAGAAAAGAAGGATTCAGAGGGACGGATTCACTCTTCTGTGATGTATCTTATTATTGATGAAATTAAATTCGCAGGAATTTTCTTCCCCTGCTGTAATGTATGTTATGAACATCCTTAACCTCAATATTGTAACGACAGAAGCATTTCCTGGACTCTGTGTAATTCTCACTTGCAGCCCTGTGTGAATGGAAGATGTTTCCATGATGAAGACAACCAGAATTATCTATGTGTTTGTGCGCCTGGGTGGACAAGACCTACATGCCTGGAAAATATTAATAACTGTGAAATGAGCTGGTGCCAGAATGGAACTATTTGTGAAGATGGAATCAATGAATACAGGTACTAACATGCCTTCCTTATGGCAGATTTCTCCATAATCCTCTGGGATGTTAGAAGGCATGATTGAAATACTGTTTTCCTCCTGCTGCTTTCAACTGCTATTAAAATGTCATTGCCGTTGCATTTATCCTCTTCACTTTCTAAAATGTTATGGGCAGTAACTTGCAATAAACATGGCTATTTAAGTAAACAGATTGATTATCTAAGTCGTATTTCACAGACATACTTTATTTTTATTTTTTTAAAAAGAAGCATTGATTCAAGCAGAAAGTAAAGCAACTAAGGTACACCACTAATGAATATATCTGCTCCTTCTAAGTAAATAACATTAGCTTTTAGAAACAGATTTTACTTTGAGTTACAGCAGCTTAAAAACATTATATGGTAATAATAATAATGTAAAAATAAAATAAATAATTATAATAATTTAAAACATTAAAATGATAAAAATTGTAAGATCTGAAAATTTAAAGTTTATGGCATAAACCAGTTGGGCTGAAGATTATGAGCACACATTGGGTGCCATACCAAAAAATATTGGATGAAAACCTATGACAAAAACTTTCCTTTGTGAAGTATAAAAGTCCAGTTCTTAGATCTGCAAATAATAATATTTTTCTAGGTAAATTTGTGGATATTGTAGTTCTTCTAATTGATGCAATAGTGTCTTACTTTATCATAATCTTAAGAAGCTCACTTGATTTAAAAACAGTCACCTTGGGTCATTTCCATATAACATCATTCTTGGGATTAGTCATTCAGAATATGTACTTCGTGGTTGTTAATTGTTCACACATTTATTCAATCTTTGTCAGAGTAACTGAAGTTGTCTGTGATCAGATCATCTTCTTCACCATGGTTTTATTCTCCATCTGAAGATTACTATAGATCTTCTCATTAAAAGAAAAGTAGCATAGTTCCAGTGTTAAATTATTTTCAGGAAGGGATGAGGAAAATGATTTATGTTTTTTGTTGGTTTTATTTTATTTTAATGTAAAAATATTCCAAATAATAAGTTCATTTACTGTTTAGTAACATTACTTTACTTTATTTAGTAACTTTATTTACCCTCTGGCCTATTGGATTGAGTACCATGTACACTACCGCTCTATTTTTATTGTCAGTTTCTAGCCAGTGTCAACCCAAAATTTTTCATTTAATTACCTAAGGATGATACAGTATTATCCACAAACTCATTAGCTCCTATTCTCTTTCTCAGCATTCAACTGAAAGATTAGCAAATATATTTATCTTCCTTTCTTAATGCAAGGGAAGCCCCTTCCTTTTGTACACCTGTTTTGTTCATCCCCAGATGTTACCACATAACTTTGCAGAAACCACAGAATTGTGTGAGCTGTAGATAAAATGTTGGTGGGCACTCTTGGGATGTTTTAGGTCATGTTCAAAGTTTTTTTTTTAAAAAAATAATTAATTAGAAAAAAAATCAGAAAGCAGCTAGAAGAACAAGTCTTTTGTGACTTTCTGAAACCAGGATCACCATGTTGGAAGTAGGCAACAACTTCTCCCATGGAAGCCATTTCATAAGAAGTGATCATGGTTTTGGAAAATCACAAAATACTCATTCCTCTAGCTGCTGTCTGATTTTATCTAATTAATTAAAAAAAACTCTGGAAAAAAATCAATTGGGACCGGGAATCTGGGACACATAGAGCGAAGTACCATATTAATTAAGAATGAATATGATAATCTCTTTGATCATTTCTTATCTCCCTACTTATGAAACTGACATCCTTCGCTGGGAAAAAAAAACCTTAGGCCTCAACTTACAAGGTTCACTATTTTAAATTTTAAAATAGGCTCTAAAGATTTTTCTCTATCTCTCTCTTTCTCACATGCACGCACATATGTCCTCATTACTGATGCACTTCAACGTAATTTGATTTTATTAATTGCATTATAGATCATTACTTCTGCTCATTTGACTTTATTAGCATGTTTCATTTTAAACAATACCAAAATTAAAAAGATAATTTGAGTTTTAATTGTTATTTCTTCACCTTAAGGATCTTTTCCTGAAAGTGAAATCACAAATCCCCCACCAAGAATGAATAATAAATGAATGAATGAATAAATGAGCAAGCAAGGGCTAGATAAAAATGCTTAATTTATGATAACAGGTCAGTGACCTTGTTCCCAATTAAGTCATCTACACGGGAAAAACAAATTATCAGTTCCCGTGTGAATTGTTTGTAATGTTGTATTCTATTGCTTGGTAGCACAAAATAAAAATGCAAAGTAGCATGCCTTTCAACTAGAAGTCCAGATCTCTGTTTCCAGAAATTAGTGACTTTTGAAATAATTAGCTGGTTGAGCCATATTATCTTGATCTTACTGATTCCACTGTGATTTGCATAGCACATATTTTTGCTAGGTTCTGCCTCGGAGCTTTTGACACTAACGCGAATTAGAAAGCAATTCAGATTGGTTCAATATTCAAAGGAGGTTATTGCTCTTCAATTAGTTTACTTGGAACCAAGTGTTCACATCCAAAATAGAGTTTTGTACACTTTTGTTTGATAATTTCAAGAATGTCAAAAACCACAATGCTTTCAAAGCCAAGCTAAAGCATGAAATTCTACGGTGATAGCCATGTTGGGGACTTGATAAGGTTGGCTTTCATTGTGCAAAAATTTCAGTAGCAAACTAGGTAGGATTACCAATGGTTTTACAGAAGGGAGCAGACCTCACTGTTTTTAACGTGTACCAACTCGGTAAGACTTGTAATTTATGTATTTGTTTCTGATTGGCCTACCTGGCTTGGTTAGCTGCATTGTTTCATTTTAGAGTGCTCTTACCTATTATATTGGTTCTCACTTATCCATCTGTTAATTGCTGAGTGCGTAATAAACAGGATATTTGTTTCCTTCTTGGACTTTTGTTTGCTTTTGGTATAATTTATAGATAGGGTATATTTAGCAGCATTATACATCAGAATCAGGGGTGGTATTCACTTACCTTCGCTACCGGTTCACAAATGTGAGCACGTGCATGCGCAGTTCATCAAAAATGGGACGTGATGATGTCCGAGCGGGTAGCCGGAGCCTCCCGCAGCCACCGCTATAGGTTCGCCCAAGCTGGATAGAATCAGCTGAATACCATCACTGATCATAATGCTCAAGAGCCACAGTGGCGCAGTGGTTAGAATGCAGTACTGCAGGCTATTTCTGCTGCCTGCCGGCTGCCTGCCATTTAGCAGTTCAAATCTCACAAGGGTCAAGGTTGACTCAGCCTTCCATCCTTCCGTAGTCAGTAAAATGAGAACCCAGATTGTTAGGGGCAATACGCTGACTCTGTAAAACCACTTAGAGAGGGCTGTAAAGCACTTTGTAAAGTCTAAGTGCTATTGCTATAATGCTCTGTTACACAGCTTTTGTGCAGTACTAAAATAATAATAGCATTCTAACATTTTTCCTCCCTGCAACCTTTGGCAACTGGCACTCCTTATGATCCAGTTTCTTGGGAAAAACAGTAAATATTCAGTTCCCTTCAATCTATGCACCTGAACCTGTTTCAGTTATTGAATGCTAAGCTCAGGTGAAGGGCACTTCTTTTATTGCACTGTGGCACACATTAACAGTGTCATTTTATCCATCTTCTGTCTAGTGTAGTCGTTATTTTTTGCTATGATTCTGAGCTCTGTCCCTGACTAGGTTCCATAGGTGAGATTTTCATGGCCCTCACATTAAAATGAGATAAATATGTGCAGTGAGGCAACAGTGCACAAAATCCCATAAATGCCAGAGCAAGGTCTAGCTGGCTATGTTCATGTTCTGATCCCCATTAACCTTCTGCGGTAACAACGCAGAGGAGAAATCAAAGCTGGCCAAATTTTATGAGTCCACACCATTAATCTGGGTTACAGATAAAGATGTCGACCTCACCAATATTTTGTTCAGTTTCAAAGCATTTCTGAATTAGCAGGGGCATGGAATGCAAATGTTTTCAGCAGCCTTTTACATGAAAATGGTCATTAATAGGAGTACTAGATCTGGGAAGCAAAAATAGGAATAAGCTCTATATGAGAACAAAGAGATTTTTCTGCATTTCTTTGCTGGTATCCATTCTACAACCAAGATATAATAGAATTTAGAAATACTAAGTATACATATATATGTGTGTGCATGTGTGTGTGTAAATTTATATTTGCTGATAAAGAAAGGGAGACTAGTATAGATCTATTTCAAGCTATTTAGCTCTCATCAGCTAGTCATACCCTTATTCAGATTCAAACTTGGATTGGAGCTGAAAGGCAAAAAGGAAGCAGTATGCTCCCTCCCATATTGGGGTAGACTAGGTGCTTCAATAGAAACACACACACACACACACACACACACACACACACACGGTTTTGTAAATTGGCAAAAAGGAAATACACAGAGATCTCATTGTCATGTAGTTAATGTTCCAATCAAATAAGAACATAATATTTTAGGGCACTCTCTCATAGTCACAGTTAAGTGCTTTTCATAGTTTGTAAGGGGGTACATATGTATGCTAGCATACATTGACTCGCCCATGCTGCTGAGCTGCATTCTTCGTCAGCAGGAAAGCCAGCAACTTATGGGTCCTCCCAGGTTTTATGCGAGACAACTTAAGAAAGGTAATTGATGGATTTCCTCAACATCACCTACCATCAGGAAAAACAATAACAATAACTAGTCACTCTGAATACAAGAGTTGACAGATGCCTCAACGATCTGTCAGAATTTGGTAGGTGAACCAAATTCACCTACCAGCAGAGGGGCCAGTCTGCTGGTAAAGTGTCTATGGAGATTCTCATTCATCCAGGTCATGGTTGTCCCAAAGGTGCTTTTTCAAGTGACAACTGGACTTTCATGGGGTTTTTTGAAGACGTTTCAATGACTCTCTGAAATAATGCAAATAACCAGCTGTCTGCAAGGAATATAAATCCTTCCATTCCCCACCATCCAGTCAGAGCTGAAGAAGCTTCAACTTCTATTCATTTAAAAATAGTTCAA